TTGCCCCCAGTACTAGAGAAACAACTCATTTTGATGGGACTACTATCTCAAGGACAATGCATAAATTATTATGAGTCATGACCATCAATCCCAATCAATTATTCTATAAGAGCTGTCACATTGGTCATAAGTTCAAACTGCTATTTATTCAAAAAAATAAAACATTTACCATTTAAATAATCAAAACTGAAATGATTAATTTAATATCTATAACTGAACTCTATAAAACTTAACGAAATTTATAATTGTATCTCTTTTCCAAGAATCATCAAGTTTAAATTAATGGTATGAATGTGTCAATACTGAAAAATGTCTCGTCTTGTTGCAGTTGTTTTCTTTATGTCTTCATCTTCAATCATAGAGACTTGTTGGATAAAACCTGCTCTGCTTGTAGAATACTTTCAATCCTTGATTAGTTTTATTGTCATATCTTCGTGAACTGATGCTTTGTAAATCAGAAGGAAATATTTTATATATGTCGTTAAATTCGTGTGCGTGTTCAAAGATAGTTACACCAATCGTTATAATGTCAGTCTGTGTATTTGTAGCTCTGGAGTCATAAACAGGGCAATATAATTAGTTACATCCCTTTATTACAATAAACATAAGGGTTTGCCATGTTCTGGATGAACGTATTGTACACAGAATAAAAAATAATATTCCTAAAATATCTAGACGTGCAATGACTGTGTATAATTAATCAAATTATAAACGAAATTATGTCATAACAAAACGCTTTATTATTAGCAATCATAGCTATTTCATAACTGCAAAGTTATTACAATGTATGTTTACAATTTGTACCTTTTATAAAATTGTTAAGATCGTTGCTTTAAAGATAATAATGAATGCGTCTTAAAAATGGACACACTTTTCAGCACATCTTTGCCTTGTAAAAAAAGTATAAAATGCTCATGTCACGATAGTGGTAATTGCAAGCTACCAACAACGCCCACTAGCACCTGCTGTAGCAGAATTCAAAATGCTCTCCTCGTTTGAGAATCATTTAGTCTTCCTTATCTTAAGTGATTTATAAAATTGAAAAAAAACGAAGTCTTGGTAGTATCGGAACGGCTTTAGTCACCTTCTACTTGCATACGACGATTTATCTTGTAACGCTTTGTTGAATAAATTTCGTTTTCGATTTCTCTTTACGGCATAAAAACAATTGAAACCATAAAAATTACAACAGCTGGCAAAAAGTAATTCGAGACTCTGAACTACAATGCAATATGTTTTTTGAAATACTATAAGAATTTCATATCTGACGCTCGTCTTATATGCCAGTTTTGTTTAGTCTCTAAACAATTCAGGATATATTATTGATTTGCTTAGTTTGAGATTGAGATGTTTTCTTTTTGATTGTAATAAGTGAATGTATGGTTAATGGATATGGATTTAACTTAGGCTGATATATGTTCTATATTTAGATATAAATGTTGTATGTAAATGTGAATGATTGTATTTATATGTTTTTTAAAATATGAAATAAATGGGAAAAATTGTTATATTAAGATGTCTTGAATTAGCAGAATGGTTATATATGATAAAGACTATACATAAATTCTTAATTGAAAGAATTATGTTAAATCAATCAGTCCATTTAGCGAGGCATTCCTACCTAACATGAAATGGTAATGAAATGGAAATTTCGTAAGAGAACATTTTATCTATGTTAATTTATTTTTTGGATTTTTGAATAATATATGTGGATATATTACCTGTCAAGATTTTATATCACCAGAGCCGTTAGAACATATATAGTATATTTAATGATACCTCCCACTCACCATAACTGGTGTACCACAAATAATCAAGTACTAATGCTAATAATGTAGTGTCCCTATGGATAATTATAAGTAAATATTCTGTGTATTTGTCCTTTTCAATCATTATTATCGACATATCGATTCACCTGATGGTTTGAACAGTATTGTCAACTAAAATCTTGTTTTGTCAACAATCTAGAGTAGATAAGTTATTTGTTTTGAACGTTTGTGTCGGACATTGCTTTGATAAGACTGATATCATGAGCTTTTTATATAACCACAACAAAATAATATATCTGGAAAAAACATGGTTTTGTCATCTGATTTTGTCACATATTTTAGGCAATTATATAAAACATGTACTGCACTGAGATTTTTAACATGACTGGACAGAAATCTTATATACATGTATATGTATAATACCATTTAGTGAAGATCTATGTCGATAGCTATGCAAAATTTGAGATCATTCGATCATTCCAATTATCGAGATATCATTTTTATAGTGTAAAATAACCTAAAATGATAATCGCTTTAACACCATAAGAATTGCACTTAGTATCGAATGCACTTATTTCCGTTTTAATTGTCCCATTTGATGTATGTAAGATTTTTATATTTCCTTTTTAGGCTTTCGATCTCAATGGAGCTCCATAAAGCGATATTTTACATGTCTACACGTAAGCTGTAAAAAAGCATATATTCTACAGCAAATTATTACAAACAGGGCACTAGGTAACATTTGATTGAAAACTCGATTGTTTTGTTAGAACAACAGCTGTTATTGATATGTGTAATATAATATTACTGCTCGAACAATAACATGCTGATAAATTTCTTATAGTGTATCTAATGCTTTCCGACAGAAGATTTATTTGATTTAATGAACCAATGTAATTCCTAATAAGCTTATCACGACAAAAGGTCCTTTTCATTAAAAGGCTGTATAATAATTATCCACATACAAAATAGAAGAAAACGACAAAGAACAAGAAGAATGACCAAGAATCTGCTTAGGAAAACTAACTTAATGCTTTGTCTATTGCAATTTCATACATCCCTACAGATCCACCGAAATGTCACAGTCAATAACAACAAACAAACCTACAGGACCAACGGAAAGCCACAGTCTATGATAACAGACAGCACTACGGTATTACCGAAAAAGACCACGGTCCATAATAACTTACAGCTCTAAAAGATCATCGTAAAGAACACAGTCCCTAATAGCGTCCAATCCTACATGATCACCGGAAAGACGCTCAGTGTAGTACCGAACAGGAAGGCAAAGTTCAAGGAACGCAGTTCATGATAACATTCAGGTAAAACCAACAAAAAGATAACAGTTCATTATAACCTCCAGACCTACAGAACCGATCAGAAAAACACTCAGTGGAATACCAAACCGGAAAGGTAAATCTTGACGGATGAAAGAACGATGAATGGCTAATTAACAATTACAAAACAAAAGTAAATGTTTAAGACAGAAGCTTGTAATTTTTACTTATTTAGAACATTATTTTCCTCATACTAGTATTTCAGATTATAAAATGATATAATCTTCAAAGGTTCATTTTAAAGATCGATATGAAGAAAATGTCAATGTTAAAGTTAATGTCTAACTCATTATTCATTCGTAAGTAGATACTTTGACAATAAGGGTGTCTCACTGATGAAAATTCTGCAGCATTTTTACATACACGTGTATATAATGCAAGAAGATACAGAACAATTACATGGGTACATTAAATTAAGGCATCAATTGATCGTCAAGTATGTAGATCTAGATTAGTATTAATAAATCTAAGCATGTATGTTATACAGCATTTTTTCAAATTTAGTTGCGCGAAGAATCATGCCTTACATAGACATATTCTCACAGCCCCAAATGTCCTTACGTTTGTCTTCAAGTTGTGTAATAGAAAGAATATATATCTGACAACTGCAAACTTATTTAGGATTTGATACATTAGAATGAATAAAAATTAAACCAAATAATCAACATTTTTACATTTAGTCAAAATTACATAAAAGATAACAATGGATTCGTGAAAATATATAATTGTAAATGACGACTTAGCACAAAATACAATATAAGGATGAATATTTTCATTAAAGTTATTGGATATTACAAACAGAGGATAATAGATCAAATCTTAAATTTCACAATGAGTTGAAATAAAAATATGTACATGAGACAAAGATGATTGATAATGCAAACGGAAATCGATTATCACGGAAATAATTCGATCAATCAAGAATCAATTAACACTGTCGTTTCCGCACTCTTTCTTCTTAAGATGATCTGGTTAAATATGCTCTTTGAAACACATTATTTTAACAAACTGCTATCAGTCAATAACATAATGAACAAAGCCTAAAATTAGAATGTTTTGCTATGTGTAGGATATATCTCGTGGATTTTATATAGTAAATGTGTATCAAATATATATGTACATAATAAAAAAATCGCCATTTAATTGCAAATCTGTAACAGCAAAAGTTGCACAATGGAGATACATAGAAAAAAATTATGAGCAAAGATTATCTACATCTGAAAATGATACAGAACTTGCATTGCTTGTAATAGTTTCTTCACGTCTCAATATTCCACGTCGCACAGGAGCTTTAGGGAGATTATGAATAACTATTTGTTCAAGATTCAGTGGAGATAATTCTTCATCTGAGCATAGGTGTTTCTGATGTCACTGGTGTTGGCGCGCTTTTGGTTCATGGTAAATGTTACATTTTGCTAACGATGTTTCTGAATGACTTGAGACAGGTGCTTTCTGTAATACAATGAGTGGATGAGAAGGCTGATCTGCTGATGAAGAGCGAAGCATGATAGGTTTTTGAAGGTGTGAGCGCGAACTATTAAGACCTTGGGAACTACCAGTTTTGTTGATTCCGGTCGATGTAGAACCATTTGAATGGCCTAAATCTAGTGACTCACCAAGTGGAAATTTACTTTTGTGGTTTTCTCTTTTGAAATTTTTGAAGTAATCAGCTGAAAAATAAAATATTATAAGCATGAAGCTTTCCTCATTTATGAACTGAATACAAGCATATTCAATAGCTGTAGGAAAACATAAATAAACTCAAATCTGCAATATTTGATCTGGATCGTTTCAAATAAAAATTATTGAAATATTACAATTATAATACAGCTTGGTAATTTAACTCTTCTCAAAAAATAAATATGAAGCTAATCCTATCGGGTTGTACGAAAATGTTATTTGATGGGAAAAAATAGCTCCTCTTTAACTATATACGTGTATATTCATTTTCTAATATACATTCATATTACACGATCAGATAGTATCAATAGTATAAGAATTTGTATGTCTCTTCTCAAATATAAATTAATATGAAGCTCGCAAATAATATCAAGTTGTAAAAGAGTAATCTGAAGTACGTTTATTTTTTTCCTAAATACATATTCATAGATTTACGTGATCAATGAAATAAGAACTTAAAAATGTTAACTTACTGGATATTGTGATGAAAGCCACGCCCCATACTATACTCCATATCCAACCAAGCAGGAAAAGGAACGCTGTAATGAATTGTAAAAACGCCACCCACGTGTTTGAAAATATGATCTTCTGTTCTGTCATGTCTTTAAATCTAATTGTGCTTCCACATAATACAGTAAGTCCCGCTGTAAATGTACCTGAAAATATCATAAAATGATGTATATTGTTAGGATTTTCAGTAACTTAATGATCTTTAAGAACCTGGACAGATTTCGGGATGGCAAAGGTTTGTGTGGGTTTTATTGTTTGGTAAAGGTTGTTCACTATTAGTTACATCCTTCTAAGGATTATAATATGTGCAAACAATACATTTTTATTGGAAGGTATGATTACCGTACACGCCACCTAGCACCGACTTAAGCAGTATTTAACATGACGAGGCAACCATTCAAAGTAGTAGTTCTAATCGCAATCCATTTAGAAACTATCTGTCAGTTTATTTCTTGTTATTTTGTTGTTGTTGTTGTTGTTGTTTTATTGTTGTTGTTTTCTTTCCTTAATGATTATTCTACTTATATTTTTAATAAATCATAAAACAATTATGTTTATTAGATTGAATTGTAATTAAAGTAGTCCATGGTATTATATGAAACATCCTTTAGTATAAATGTTTTTAAGAAATCGGAAACATCAGTTTTATTCATAACGATGCCTTCTTTTGTACATGTATATGAGATTGTGTTAATTGAAACCTTGATTGTCATAGTTTTTCACTATAACCATATAATATAACCAATACTAAGGAATAAGAAGAATTAAAGAAGGTGTTTTTGCTTTTTTCAATTTCTGCATGAACCTATTTACTGTCGTCATGAATGAATATAAAACTGATTCACATGCGGGCAGAATAAGATTTTCTGACAGATTTTATATCATTTTACGTTATTTCATAATAGATGATAAAATCCCGTATGGACGATTGAGATAGGAATTAATCATTCTATTTGGTCTTAACTCATATTAGAACGGTCAGTCGGGAATAGCTGCCGCAACATACTGGTGAGCGAATAAATTCAATAAATGACCAGACCGTAATTTGTTTTTTATTATTTTATTTTCCTTCGTTCATTTCACAAAAAGCATGGAGCTTAGGGCTAACTTAACCCATTTGCATGTAGATACAGATCAGTATAAAACAAAATGTTTTTATTTTGTTCAGGAAAATAGCATATCACTTTGTTTTGAAATTATTTATGAATACTCTAATACTTAGTAAGCATTTGGCGAGCGTCGTTTGTCAAGTGGCTGTCATCATTGATTTTCTGACCTTATATCCACTTGAAGCTGCTAGGGTAAATAAGTCATTTAAGTGTCTTGAAGATACCACTTTAAACATCTGTATAAAGTTCATGCTCTAAAAAAAACTCACAATACATCGTAAAATAAAAATCAGGAAACTCATCAGTCGCGTTTTGTTTCCGATGTTTTGTAAAATTTATAATATGTTATTTTATTCCTTTAATAGTCACGATATTAAAATAAAAAATAGATACAGCAAATGATGATGCTGTTGTTGTTGTTGTTGTTGTTGTTGTTGCTGATGTTAAATAAAAATGGAACATCCTTCGAAAGGCATCCGAACTTATCAAAAGAGATATCAGAATATTTTTAAAGTCACATACCAATCAGGAAATATCCTGACACAACAGTTTTTCTTATTTCAAAAATAACTCCCAGCTGCTCTTATCGCCTATGTAAAAGCTGGCGCCATCGAAAGTTAGTAGTATCATCAATCGGTGAAGGAATCTTGTATTGTCTCTTGGAGACAAAATCAATACATATAGTAGTTAATATTCCATTAAATAACTTCATAAAGTAATTAGCCTACAGGCAACTCCTCAATAAATATCATAGTACTGGGTGGCGGCAACGATATGTACGTCTGTGTTTTACAGAGTAAGCTACTCTTGAAATATTCGGATTGGAGGATCGACCATCTGTTCATGGTGATGGTGTTTTACATTCTAGACTTCGCTAAATATCGTCGCTTACTAATGGTAACTTCAATTTACTATAAATTTAAAATTTAAAGTTAACCCTATCATACTTACATAGTTGGTAAGAATAGATTTTGGTTGAAGTTAAATACATACAACTTTAAAATATATTACCTTACTTAAAGTGAAATACAACTAAAGAATAGCATAAGAAAGAATTCTTGAATAATGATGACAATACCCACTAACTGTGTTACTTTAATGGCAAGATTAATGTTTCTGAAAATGCGTTATATAAGAAGTGGATATTCAATATATGGCTTCCTCTAAACAGGGTATCATATTTATTGCTTCATATGGAACGAACCTGACTTATAACTATATTTACACTTCAAGTTAACAGCTTAAAATTAAAGAGCATGTACATATGTAACACAAGCATGTTATGGAAATATACTGTGTTTTACAAGCTACTACATGTATATAAGTGTGTACATCTAAGTGGTACCCTTGAACAACTGGCACATACATTGCGAAAGTTCTTTTTTGGTTCAGTATATGTGTAAAATTTCCACCCCCAAAACATACACATTGATTTCTAAAACTGCTGCCTTACGCTATTAAACAAACAAAAGTTGCAGAAATGTGATACTGGTTAATACAACTGTGAACACAAGAACAATTACAATTTTATACTTATCATTTAAATAAGAAACAAAGTAGATGAAATGAAAGTGTTAATTAATGAACATCCCTGATTGAAATATTTCCACTTCAAAGTAAGTACATAACTGCGTTGCTAAGCAAAACGACACGATAATATCACCGTATCCTTTTAAACTAATGGATGTATATGTGTACCGTGATTCTAAAACTGTTTGAGAATGTCAGAGTGTAGAAGACTTATAACTGGAACAATTGTTTGATAAGATACTTTCAATGGTTTCTACGTGGAAGATGATATAGACGTTAGAATGTTAACAATATATGTTATTTTGGTTTTGGAGTGATATATGTGGATATATTACCTGTCAAGATTTTATATCACCCGAGCCGTTAGGCTCTTGTTAGGCTCTTGTAAACAAGAGAAAAGGAGTAGTCTGTTGAACGCACTTTTTTGGAATTAATATCAAGCTTTCACAAGGTCATATTTGTTTTCAATACTGATGAGAATGTGTATCATTACTCTATTTTGGTAAATATTTATCATTTGACAGTAAAAAGTGCTTTTAAATCGGAATTTACATCGCCTAAAAACAAACCGTACGCGCATCGCCACAGTGCATGTTGTTTACAACATGAGGTACCAAACGGGAAAATTTAGTGTGTATATAACCCGTCTGGCTCGGTAATATCAATTTTTTACGGGTGATCAATATCCAATCAAAAAGGCGGAAAATATCTGGAAGGGTAATAAAATGGTATATATGTGCACTGTAATCTTTCTTATATTCACTTTATGATGACACGTGTCCTGATGTATCTGTGCATAAAATTGATATCTGATAGGTTTTAAGAAGGTAACTAGTCCATTCGTTTTTTTCAATTATGATATTTTCAAACATTTTCATAGTATGCATTTTTGTCTTCTTTGGAAAAACATTTTGTTACTCTACACATTAGGAAAAAAGAACAATCCGCAAAATCATCAACCAGCCATCGACATCTTATTTCTGGTTATTTCCAGTATTTACCAGAGGTTGTTATTTTATATGCGCTAGATACAGCTGCGAATATTTTCTTGGAAAAAAAACTGTTAGTTAATGCGAAAACAATTAGCGAAGAGCTGTCTCCATAAATCAATTATTCTATTAGTTTGTCGCAATTTCTGCGATGTTCTATTATCAGTCAGACTTTAATACAATCATTATCGTCAAGTTGCCGTAATATGGCCTTCTACAGCCACCATCTGACATTAACGGTCTAATAAAATGTAATTTGAGCAGATCTATTGTGTATCCGTCTTTTTCAATCATCATTATCGACATATCGACTATTCTCATAGTTGTACAGTATTGTCAACAAAAACCTGTGTATTGTCAACAACATAAAGTAGGTTAGCTATTTGTTCAGAAAGTTTGATAATATCTGACATTGCTTTGATAAGATTTATAAGGTTAATCGTTGATAATAAAAACAAAACAAAAATCAAAGCTTTTCTGTGTCTTTTACCGGATGATTTATTATTCAAACATTACAACTTGGGAATAAAGGAAAAGAGAAATCAGTTTAAAAAACGTACTAATATTTATTAATAAAAACGTGTTGGCGTGAAAACGGCCATGGCTGGATAAAAGCATTTTAATTATTTAACCTATTGAAATGTCTATGTGTTTCGAGTTAAAACTACTAAATGTCTTTACTATAACTGTTTTTGCCCCGGCAACGGTTGCAAAAACGTGGTAGCACATGCTTCAACTCAAGGTACACAGGTACAGATGATGAAATCACTTTAACATGTCTGTTTTACAAATTGATCAGCTCCGATAACGGTCGCTGAGACTTATAAGCATTCTCCTGTTTCTGTATCTTTCTGTTCCAGCCATGACGTGTTAATAGTGTTATCTGAAAATATAAAAAAAAGGAAGAGAGCAAAAACAAAGAAATTGAACGGGTGGGTTTGTGGTGGGATTCAATATTTGATTTTTTTAATTTAGATTTTTTAACGATAAACTAGTCTACCTCTTCTATGGTGTCCACGAATGAAAGACCGTTCCCAGAATTTTTTCTGCCTTATATATGACATAATCCAGTGTAGGTTGTCTCCCCTGACAACTCTTTTTGAGGCCCTACTGGGGTGTTATAATAAAAATGTTAAGTTTGTAAGATTTGAATAAAAGATTTAATCCTCTAGCGGATAAATCAAATATTATTCAAACATTACAACTTGGGAATAAAGGAAAAGAGAAATCAGTTTAAAAAACGTACTAATATTTATTAATAAAAATACGTGTTGGCGTGAAAACGGCCATGGCTGGATAAAAGCATTTTAATTATTTAACCTATTGAAAATGTCTATGTGTTTCGAGTTAAAACTACTAAATGTCTTTACTATAACTGTTTTTGCCCCGGCAACGGTTTGCAAAAACGTGGTAGCACATGCCAAAAAGCCCACAAGCAAAGTGAAACATTTGACTGTGGGCTTCCGCCAAAGCGGGCTACCACAGCAACAATTTTGCCCTACCCAGCCATGGACGTGAATGTGTGGAGAGCACCCGATATTGTATTCAAATAAAATGTGGTTACCAAAGTCCGACAGATGTGTGCCATCCAGCCTATACAACCTAGGGTTCTCCGTAATATCAGGGTAACGAATATAATAACCCCGAGTTTAATAACAAATGTACTGATACAACTATTTATACGCATGCGGGTTTTATTTGCAGTTTGTTACATTGGATATATCTCCATGACCTTCTTGGGTAATATCTGAGACCAAATTATTTTCGTATCAGGCATTTTTTTCAAGCAAAGTCCCTGTTATAAAGTTTTTGATGTCCCATATGATTTCAACTGAAGGTCGATTTCCTAAATCTTTCCCCGCCACAGTGTATTATCAAAAATTTAGGCGCATTTTTAAACTCAAGCAAGTATTCTATCGAAGGTTTTAAATCAGAAACTTTCATGCCCCCCTGATATTCCCATATAACATTATAACCTAGAGATTGAAGTCCCAAGTGAGCACCTTCACTTCTGCGACATGCTGTTTGAAAGGCATCCCTAATAATTGAAGAGCCTATAATCCAAACATCCGACATTTTACACAGTCTGAAATAAGTTTGATTATATATTCAGTATTGTGTACCTATCCATTTAATATAAATAAATAATCAAGTAATGTTATTCAAAAAACACATGTCAGGCACATAATGTCAAACTATGTGGTAACAGTTTATAAATTTTTTAAAGACACATAATGTCAGGCACATAATGCCAACTGGGTGTTATAATTGTTAAAGACACATAATGTCAGGCCACATAATGCCAACTGGGTGTTATAAATCATTAAAGACACATAATGTCGGGCACATAATGCCAACTGCTTGTTATTCATTAACACATTTAAAAAACACAATATCAGGCACATAATGCCAGGCACATAATGCAATATATACAACATCTTTTTATTACAACAGCATTAATTGCTCTATTTGATACATTAATGTGTATTAAGACCCGGTAACGGTTTTTCTTAATACAAATACATATTTTATTTTAATAGCCAAATTTCGGATCGCCGGCATTCACATTACAGCCATTTTGGCAGATCCTAAAAAAATAAGTTTTTTTTGAAATACCATAAACTCTTATCGGATGTAGGCATTTGTAAGCGTTAGATCGCCAACGGCCTCTGTATTTTATATCATTGATAGCACAACCCTCACGGAACATATTAAGAAGCCCCGCCGATTCGAAAGAGTGTGCTTTAAATTCATTTTTTTCTTGACCTATCAAGTTCAAAGTCCCTTTTTAATACTGAATTGAATTGAAAGGATGTTAAGGGACTTCCATCGAAATGGCAGAATAACGGCCCTTGCCCTTTACCTTCTAAAATGTAAAAACTCTTTCAGTTTTTTCATAACAGAGTTTGTTTGGTCAGTTATCGAATATCAAATAGAACATCCTACATATCTCTGGTCCTGTTTTTGAACATCTAAAATACAGTCTGATGAGATTTTGATTGATCGTTACGTCATCTACATTTAAAACTACCTTTTTGATTTCTTTGAAGGCAATGCAAATTCGCTTATTCTTAACAGACCTATGTAGGCAAGACAGAAGGCAGCAGAAAACATTAAACACTCATATTGTGATCTGCAAGCGTTAGGTAGGGCTGATAAAAGCTGTATCAGTACATTTTGTTTATCGGGTGTCTTGTGTCATGTCTTTTTCGATAATCTACGGAACCCTTCTAGCATACTTTTGACTATGAATTGTTTTGTATTGTCAACCAAATTGTTTATTTTATTAAAATAACTTATTGCTGAAACGTGAACAGCTACTGTTGAAAATGAGTATTGACGTAAAGACATGTAAATGCAATATATTCCGTTATATCTTGTACAACTGGCGGCCAGTTTTGAGAGTGTCCCAATTTTGCCAAAAATTCTTCAAATGATTTTAAACCTGGCAAGGTAGGCTTTATGTGTACTTTGACTAAGTGCAGCATTGATTAATCGCTCTTTCTCTATTTGAAGATCGCATGAAATGCCTCTGGGATTGGACATGGGTCTTCTGATGCAGCGTAGTCCGGTCAGAACTTTGGCCACTTTCTGCCACTGAAAACGGCCTAATAGTGTCACATATTTTATTTTGTACCCCGATATATGCCTTTGCTTTCACTTGAATATTATTGGTTAAAAGCAAAAGTACGAAATGGCGGATGAGTACCATAACTAGTTTATTTTTTGATGACTTTTTATTTATGATCTCCCACTAATGCATTATTATCGGACCTTAGCATTATCTTTTTGTTTCTTAATTCTTTGCCCCAAGTATAAAATGCCAGTATAATAGGGACCAATTCTAAATAAGTAACATTTTTAAAAGTAGAACGTCCCCAACCGCCTGGCCATTTAAAAGCCACCCAGTTGCCCTGAAAGTATGCTCCGCAACCAAGGTTCTTATTGCCAGATGCGTCCGTATATAATTCTAAATGGCAGTTATCTGCCCAATTTTTTTCTGTAAACATAAACATAACTATTGAATTTTTCAAGAAATGTTAGCCAAATATTCGCATCTTCTTTCATGCCGTGGTTGACTCTAATAAAATGGAACGGTTTCTTTACATACGACATGGCGTCATAAAAACGTCTATTAAGGCACGGCCACTGGGAATAGCTTTTGATATAAAATTAAGTAGACCAACGACTGATTGTAAGTCTTTGAGTCTGATCTCTTTTAGCGTTTCTTAACAAAACGAGACAGTTTTTCGCTTTCCTTATTTTTTCTAAAGGCACCCTCACCATTTGATTGATTGAATCAATTTCAAGACCCAGGTATGTTATAGTTGTAACAGGTCCCATCCATTTTTCGACACTTAGGGGGACACCAAGTTCATTGCAAATTTTATCAAAAGTTTGCATTAAATTCAAGCATTTTTCAAAAGATTTTTCTGCCATAAAAAAAGTCATCTAGCAGGTGATCAATATAGTATGATTTGATTCTTTAGACACAAGCCATTGTAAAAACTTTTGAAAATTTTTCAAAAATAAAACATGAACATGATGCGCCTGTGGGCAGCATTTTTTGAATCCAATATCCCTCCTCGGTTTTTATACCTAATAAATCAAAATCGCCTGGCCATATAGGGCATAAATTAAATGCAGAAGAAATGTCAGCTTTTGCCATAAAAGCAGAACCCCCTTTTCTTGAACTATTCTTACTGCATTGTCGAATTGTGAATATTGAACATGGCAAAAATTCTGGATCGATAAATTCATTTATACTGTTGCCTGGTGGGTATGAAAGGTGCGTTATTAATCTGAAACCACCGTTTTGTTTTGGTACGAGACCTACGGGATTTATTCTAAAATTAGTAATTGGCTGGTTTTTGAACGGTCCTAGGATTCGCCCAAGTAAAAATTCGTCGTGAAGCTTTTTATTTAATAAGCATTTTGATCAAATGCCGATTTGAGATTTTTTGGAAAAAATAGGGATTCTTGGTCCGGTATATTCGAGCTTAAAACCAGTACTAAAGCCTTGTAAAATGTAATTGGCATCATCCTTATTTGGGTATTGAAAACAGTTTATCAGCGAGACCCGAGATATTAATTGGTGAAAACCCGAGGTCCCATAGGCACTCTTTGAGCTGGCAATCCAAATACCTGTCGAGGGTATTGCATCTGGGTGGTCTGAAACGTAATGAAGGCCTTACATGACGCGGGTGTGAATTGCGCTGTTTGTTTATTTGCATAACAGTGTATTGAAGGGTGGTTACCAAAGCATTTGATGCAAACGTGTTTGTAGGTACATGATCTATTTGTACAAAAGCCTTTGTTATTAAAGTCATAACATTTTTTTGAAATATTCAGAAGTGCCGGCTGGCTCAAGGACTGAATAGGCTGCATATATATCATCCACAATTCTGGGTCAATATTTTGCCACTTTATACCCAAATCGATTGATTTTTTAAGCCTAAATTGCCTATCGTACTCGAACCATCCGACATTTCTGGATGCCGCTAAACGAATGTTTGCAAAATATTGTAATAGGTTATTTGCTTGTTCTGGATGTTTCATAATAAAAATACTCATGTACACCACGAATGCATCTGACCAAATTTCTATTTTTTCTATTTGTTTCGGAATTTGCTCTTGGGTACTCATTATAAGTTCCCCATCAACAAGTTGAATCTTTTGTCTATTTTCTAACATATTTTTCTTTGGCAACAAAGTGTGTAACTCTACAAATTGATTGTTCCATATCTTATCTTTAGTACTGACAGTTACATGTGCGCCTAGCATTGTACCAGAACAAGTATTTATCATGAAATTTTTGGAAACTTCACCTTTATTAGCTTCTAGGTGATGAAGATCAACATCTACCGGAGGTCCGGATTGGCCATCCATCTCGTTTTCTGCACAGGGCTCCCTTACAGGTCTGTCAGCTGGAGGCATGGCTGTAGAAACAGACGTTCGAGTGTTCCTCCTATTATTGACTTGCTGTTGGAGCGTGTCTCGTGTATGGCCACGTTGTTGGCGATGTTTGGCATTGTCGAAAAATAAAATAATATAAAAAAATAAATAGATCTAAATAAATATATTAAATAAATAAATTTGTGTAGATTTTAATAAATTATTATTATTAAATTTTTATTTCATCATGATGTATTTTATTTATTTCATACTTTATATATTTAGACTCTATTTACTCTTATCTTTATTTTCTTAGCCTAGATGAAATGACGTCATAGGTATGATGTCATGCGCGTGGATTTCAATGAGACTGATAATTTTCCCGTTGGAAAAACATGACCCGTCATAATCGAGTTATATAAATAATATTGTATTTTTAACCATTTTATAGCTATGCTCATTTATTTAATCATTCATAAGATAATGATAATATCAAATAATCTAGATTCTAAGTAAAGATCACGTGCTCAAACATCAAATAAATAGACAGGTTTAAACTAGATCTAGATCCCATTTTTTATTTATTTACTTAATATTTCAAAAGAAACCTATTAACTTTGACATATATTTTTGTGTAATCAAAGCATCCAAATTGATTTTTTAGACTACTGACCTTAACGAGAAAAACATGGGTCATCACCCACGTGGTCATAAAATCTGGTCAAAGTTCTTATCTGTTCAAGTTTAAACCCCAAATAATAGAACAAATAATAACAGAATATAAAATATATCTAATTTCCTCTGAGATTAAATAATACTGATTCATTCAATATTTGATTTTTTTAATTTAGATTTTTTAACGATAAACTAGTCTACCTCTTCTATGGTGTCCACGAATGAAAGACCGTTCCCAGAATTTTTTCTGCCTTATATATGACATAATCCAGTGTAGGTTGTCTCCCCTGACAACTCTTTTTGAGGCCCTACTGGGGTGTTATAATAAAAATGTTAAGTTGTAAGATTTGAATAAAAGATTTAATCCTCTAGCGGATAAATCAAATATTGTCACACATCTTATGTATACATGTATAACCCGATATATTATTGCACGTATTGTGTGAAATATTTACACTTAACACCCTAAAGCAAATTCGTGCGCTCACATTAAGATACTATGTAGTTTTGTCTGTACAACAGCTGCTATTGATATTATAACAATCACATACTGGTTTTAATAGAAACGTGTTAATAACTTCAGTGTACCTTATGCTATCATGTTTATGAGTTGAGCTGCTCCATGACAAAACCAACATAATGGGTTTGCGACCAGCATGGATACGGACCAGCCTGCGCATCCGCGCAATCTGATCAGGATCCATGCTGTTCGCTTACCAACCCTATAACAAGTAGAGAAACTGATAGCGAACAGCATGGATCCTGATGAGACTGCGCGGATGCGCAGGCTGGTCAAGATCCATGCTGGTCGCAAACCCATTATATTAGTTTTGTCCTGACGCGGCTCAATTAGTTCATATAGAGAACCCTGGTAATCCGGATAAGTCTAAGACAAAAAAAGTAAAACAAATATTGAAAAATCGTCACAATACAAACACGATATATCTAACAAAACATTTCAGAATTTAGCAAATGAAACACACATTTTTACTGTACATTTATATTGTATTAAACCATCTAGTATAAATAAATATCTGCTTAGCCTAGGATTTGTTTGTTATTGTAAACATGTACATTGCTCCCGTAGTAATTCCTCCTTTGAATGTTATATACTATATTTTGTGTAGGTAAACAAAAAAAAGCATTAACTACAAAAATAGAATACTATTGTATGTTTATGTTTCAGTAGGTTTACATTGAATAAAAGTCATATTTCATCAATTTCTGAAACAGTTGTTAAGATTAATTTTTGTGAAACCTTAGGTTAGGTTAATGATCAATGCCCGTCAATCAGATACATGATTAACGTGAATGTAAACAATGTAAATTCTATCTGAAAGTTTACCTCGCCTTTGTCGAAGAGATAATAATAATATTTGTTCATGTTGTGCCACAGCTGTTATTACATACAACATCGTTTAAACATCAATTACCAATCCTTTTTTCATTTGTCATATAATTGTACATGCCAATAAATAAAGGAACATAAAAATGTTATCACTAAAAGTTGTTTTCCTACTTTCTACAAGGTGACAGGATCCAGAAATAAGAAACATAACAAATTTTCTTCATGACATGTAATAGTATTAAAATTAGTGATAAAATGTAATGAACCACCTTACCTAAGCCCGGAAGTAATATGTTCAGCATGAGACATGTAATTGCTACTGGCTTTGTCATTGCAGGAATCGAGTCTCTTAATGACGAGTCATTATCAGCACTGTCTTTAGTCTCTTTTGATGACGCCCTGTGGCTTATCGGAGGAGTGTTCTTACATGATGGGTGGCCTATAAACAGAGGGCGCCCATAACCTGGATTATGTTTACGTTGCACCCCAAAAACATTTCCAGTCTCAGACCGTGATGGAAGCTCCGTATGAAGATGTTAAACTATGTGTCAAACATTTTAAATAGTTTGTAAGAAGGTTTTTCAGCTATGACATATGCCTCTTTCAATGTGAGATAACATCGCCGATCAAGTTTCTATATTTTTAATGATTTCGAAATATTTAGCAAGAAGACCCAAATTCTTGTATTGGACCAAATGTTTATGTATTTGTATTTGTTCTAGCATAATAGGCGGTTGCCCCATAAGTAATGATTAACCTGTATTCAATGTCAGATGGCATTAATCATAATAAACAATTTTCAATTTCTATCACCATAATTTACTTCCTTACCATTTAACCCATTACTTCATGAGCATTTTGTGAAAAATGGCTGTTTTCATTGAAAAGTCTTCCGTTACAAGTTCAAATTGCTATAATACTATAAAAACTGCTTCAACACTAATCAAACTTGGCACAAATGATGACTGGACCATTGCCCTTGCAACAACATGCTCAGACTTAAATTTTCTGTTACCATGGCAACGAGGGGACATCTCAAAATTGCCAAAAATCACTATTTTGCGTTGATTTTTTCCATCAAAATTGATTTCAAAGTGCTGCAACTTCTCAATGGATTGAGATAGAGTCAAATGCTTTTCAGCGTTGGTTACACGTTACCTTATGATCAATCTGGGGTCATTTACAGCCTCTCACAAGTCCAAAATTTTCTTGGCGATGAGGGGACTCCGCCCCCCTTCAAACCCCCCCCCCAAACAAAAGGGGGCACATCCCCCTTCTGGCAACCCCCTGATGTATCTTTTCGTTGGGGGGCCGCGCCGAAAAAGAGGTCACTTTTTTTAACAACATTTCTCAAACAAAAACAAGTGTTTGGGGCCTAAATAAGGCATTTTTTCATCATTTGAGACAACAAAAAGGGGGGGTGAAAAAGGCGTTAAAAGGCGTGTATATGAAGTAATGGGTTAACAGAAAATGATGAAAATACTTGAAATTACCCTAAATCGCGTTTTTTCATGTTTTAAACATGGCCTGTCATATAAATTTGATGAAAAATTGTTGTTTTGTAGATTTTTTTATTTTTTTCATTAACCCATTACTTCATGAGCATTTTGTGTGAAAAAATGGCTGTTTTCATTGAAAAGTCTTCCGTTACAAGTTCAAATTGCTATAATACTATAAAAACTGCTTCAACACTAATCAAACTTGGCACAAATGATGACTGGACCATTGCCCTTGTAACAACATTCTCAGGTTTAAATTTTCTGTTACCATGGCAACGAGGGGACATCTCAAAATTGCCAAAAATCACTATTCTGCGTTGATTTTTTCCATCAAAATTGATTTCAAAGTACTGCAACTTCTCAATGGATTGAGATAGAGTCAAATGCTTTTCAGCGTTGGTTACACGTTACCTTATGATCAATCTGGGGTCATTTACAGCCTCTCACAAGTCAAAAATTTTCTTGGCGATGAGGGGGACTCCGCCCCCCTTCAACCCCCCCCCCCCAAACAGAAGGGGGCACATCCCCCTTCTGGCAACCCCCTGATGTATCTTTTGGTTGGGGGGCCGCGTCGAAAAAGAGGTCACTTTTTTTAACAACATTTCTCAAACAAAAACAAGTGTTTGGGCCTAAATAAGGCATTTTTTCATCATTTGAGACAACAAAAAAGGGGGGGGGTGAAAAAGGCGTTAAAAGGCGTGTATATGAAGTAATGGGTTAACAGAAAATGATGAAAATACTTGAAATTACCCTAAATCGCGTTTTTTCATGTTTAAACATGGCCTGTCATATAAATTTGATGAAAAATTGTTGTTTTGTAGATTTTTTATTTTTTTCATTAACCCATTACTTCATGAGCATTTTGTGAAAAATGGCTGTTTTCATTGAAAAGTCTCCCGTTACAAGTTCAAATTGCTATAATACTATAAAAACTGCTTCAACACTAATCAAACATGGGCACAAATGATGACTGGACCATTGCCTTGCAACAACATGCTCAGACTTAAATTTTCTGTTACCATGGCAACGAGGGGACATCTCAAAATTGCCAAAAATCACTATTTTGCGTTGATTTTTTCCATCAAAATTGATTTCAAAGTGCTGCAACTTCTCAATGGATTGAGATAGAGTCAAATGCTTTTCAGCGTTGGTTACACGTTACCTTATGATCAATCTGGGGTCATTTACAGCCTCTCACAAGTCCAAAATTTTCTTGGCGATGAGGGGGACTCCGCCCCCCTTCAACCCCCCCCAAACAGAAGGGGGCACATCCCCCTTCTGGCAACCCCCTGATGTATCTTTTGGTTGGGGGCCGTGCCGAAAAAGAGGTCACCTTTTTTAACAACATTTCTCAAACAAAAACAAGTGTTTGGGGCCTAAATAAGGCATTTTTTCATCATTTGAGACAACAAAAAGGGGGGGGGGGTGAAAAAGGCGTTAAAAGGCGTGTATATGAAGTAATGGGTTAAACACACACACAAATGCGCAATGATTTTTCTATGAATATTCGGTAGGTGTCAAAACCTTCATAAAATGCAACATAAAAATTACTTAAATATCTTATTCATAGCAATACCCAAGTTAATGGTTAGACGATGTTTACTAATAGTGACACTATTAGCTATGTATTTGTTTAAATAGTTAAAAATATATTGAACATTTCATTTCTATTTTTGTATATTATATTGATGTATAAGTTTTTCTAATCATAAATGTATATATATACATGTGTTTATATTGTCATGGCGATCTTAATAATGTTTGTGAATGTCCAAAGGTCAAAATGGTAAAAATAAACTTGTAATAAACTTGTATAACCTAAGACCAAATAACCAAAAAGCCACGTCGCCATTTGGGTCAAAACGGTGTAAGTAAATCAGCGTTATCAAAGCGTCATTGACCAAATGTAGTGGTGGTACCAGTGTCATACGGCGCCAACGGTTCGACATTGCTGTGATCATATTGACTTTGAAAGGAATTTCTGTGGAAACGCTGAGAAACAGATTTCATGCTTCCGTACAATTCACTAATCCGCATATTTATTTGAAGAAAGGTTTTGAAGTAATAATGATCTTTTTGTGTTTCTTTTAAATGACAACCTAACAAAAAATTCAAATACTATGTAGAAAAAATT